AAATTAATGATAAAATCAGAATTACTTGGTGGTGCTATCTGCACCTAACAATAAGATTGGTGACAACTTTTTCATGAAGGAAGGACGCGTATGCGAGAAAATTTCTGACCGCAAGCAGAGAACACGCCGTTGTGGAATTTTCTTCATAATCTTACATATTCAATTAATAAACAAGTAATGAGAAAAAAATTTCCACATGTGTAAAAATGAGTACTTAACTTTCTAATTTATTTATATTTAAATTTAACTTGTTAATATTTTAATGTTTTAGTATGAGACTAAATAAAAGGAATTATTTCAGCAAACATTGAGAAAAAAATGTTTAAAAATATGAACATTATTCCTTATGTAACGCAGCATAATGTTGCCCACACCTCCTGCCTACCCCGCTTTTAACGTTAAGTAATTAGTGAACGACCCTAGCGACTTCCGCTCTTCGGTACTGGATGTTATCTGATCATCTGGCCATGTAATCTGGTTTTTAATGTTTATCAGAAAGCTTTGTCAAAAAATGTAAGAATATTGAAATACAATCTGTGATCAACTTGGAAACTTCTGGGGTGCGTTAGCATACGTAGCATATATACTCGTATATACTCTCTGATACGTAGTATTACATCATTAGCGTAGCGTAGTGGGGGCGCCCCAGGCGGCAACATTTTACAATAAAGAATATCTTCTAAAAATTGGAAACATTTCATTTCATAATTTTGTTGCACCTATGATTAAGGCCGATTGAAATGAGCACGGTATTTTTCATTACGTATTCTGTAACGACTTCTTTAATATCGTCTCCTATATTATTTCAGTAGATACATAACTTTTGTGGCTCTCACACGCGACCGATCTGCGTTAATGAGATCTCTAAAAAAAGAGAATTCCCCGAATACGTTATGAATTGCAATTTAACTTAAAAAATGCGAAGAATTTGTTTGAAAAACGCATCTAAATATTCATGACAAATGCAACCCGCTCAGACTGCTATTTCGTTAAACAACTCCTAAACGAAGCGTTCTAGGGCTTTAAAAACTAAAATTTTGAGTCCGACGGCTTCAAAGAAACTTTCCTTTTCCCGTTATCTACAAGATGAGATAATCTTGGATATTCTATTGGATATTTTCCTGGTTCGGTACTTCTCGATACTACCAATGGCACCTACATTTCAACCCTTGGTAATGGTGGCATCCTTGGGACGTCACGCTCAGAAGGGATAGATTCCTCTATCTTAAACTATTTATGCTTTCTGTGTACACCATGGTTTGCGCAGACTGACGATATTTATTTGTATAGTTATTAATTTAGGTTTCGCTCTCGCAGCAAAAACTAGAAATATTATTAATAGATGATTGATTCCGATGATTGTTTCTTATGCATGTAGTGAAAACATTTATTTAACAAATTCTGTAGGTTGCATTTGACGTGAAAGATTGCATTTCCTAATTGTGGAAGGATATGGGTGTACAGTGAAGAATGAAGACGTATCTTGTTAGGTTTGGTTTAAGTTTTACCTGTAGCAGTATTTTCGTTACCAGCAGTGATCCGGTGAAACTATCAAGTAAGCGTGTTCAGTCACGTAGCTTTCAGAAGAGTAAAAAGCTTTTTTAAATATTTTTGTGACTATCATGAAAAGCGAAAAGCTTTTTTTAAGGGAGTGTTGTGAATTCTTCCAAGAAATCAATCGATAATACGGTATAAATTATTTTCCACGTCAAATGAATTTTTATTTGAATTTGTTGTTAGTACAATGGAAGTTACCTTTATACATTATTCAACAAGTAAATACGTTTACTTAACCATTTTCCCTCTTAGAATAGAAGTCGGTTTGCGGAAGTAGTAGAGGGAAACTTGTGCTATTTCACTACACAAAGAACAAACTTTTTAAATTAACTAAAGTAAAATAGCTCGAAATAAGTGAACAACAAAAAGCAAAACGTGCTAGCGTACAATACTACGTAAAAAATCAATCACTTTTAAAATTATTGAAAGAATAGCGTAAGCTATTCGACAATTGCGTAAGATCACAATCCAGATGCACCATTTAAATGTTGGCTGTATCTGAAAGTCTGTACATCTACTTGGTCGGTGTCGGTTCGCTAAGATATTCAAAACGTACGTAAACATCGTTTGAGCAACATTCCCATGTACCGAAGTGAAATCTAAGCGTTTAGAATTGTTTCAAATGGTAACAAATGATATTTATGACTCGAAGGTAAAAACAGTTTTATTATTTTTTGACTCGGAATTGCTTTTCTTGAGGTACGTAAGAACGCAGAAAATAATCCAATATTTTTTAGTATAAAAATAATTTTTCAATTTTCGCATTCCAGCAAGCTGACGCCCTTCCCCCTCCCCAAAAAACCCTTTTTATTCCCCACAACAAATACATGAAAGGTAAATAATATTGGAAACAGTATAGTTGTACTTGCCAATCCTGTATTTTCGCATGGAAAACTTTACACGACTTTCTCAAGAGTAAAAACTTTTTCTAATATTTTTGTGACTATCAAGGAAAGTGAAAAGCTAACTTCAAATATATTTAAGAAAGTATGAATTGTTCGAAGAACATATGTCTATAATACTGAATAAACCTTTATTGAAAATCTGTTTCAAATGTCAATAGCTTTGTTGTTGTTGTTGTTGTTGTTGTTGTTGTTATTATTATTATTATTATTATTATTATTATTATTAGTGTTAGTATTATTCACGTATGGGCCCTATCAGACCACGCGAAGTACAACACAGAAACCTTTCAGCGCATCTTAATCTTCTTTTGTGGTAATGTATAATTATTATTATAGACATATATGTACATAACTTTTCCATTTGTAACCTGTCAATACACAATAATGATTGTTCTTGCCGAAAAGTAGAAAGTAGAAATACTATATATTTTAGTCTTTTAAATTGAAGTACCTAAATAAGGGGGCGGCGATATTTTCCTCCGCCAGGGTGGCTGACACCCACGTGTGTAGTATGCGGATGAAGTTTCATAGACTGTTCCGTAGTTTGAGTTCCGATTTTTGATGTCAGCTAAATAGCTGCGTCAAATCCGTTCACTTACAGAAATACATTTGTAAGAGATCACTGTTTTGATGTGTCGTTTCCGTGTTTCCCTCTTTTGTATTAATCAATTACGGGCAGATGTTTTGAACGCAGCAGTATAGCTCTGAAGAGGGCCGCAGCAAGTTGGCCGAAACGTCAGTCCAATTAACTGAGACGCGGCTCATTCTGGATAGCCAAGAATACAGATGTTTTGAACGTCTCTCGGGCCACGCGAATCGTCCGTACCCATTCTGACCTTTCACTCTGGAGACAGGTTAATAGCACAGGCCTAGCGTCATTTAAGTTAAATATTTTAAAGATAGGTATGCACAATTAATTTCGAATTTTGGTATGAAAAATAGTGACGTGGATAGAGAAAGAATGCTTCGTCAGTTTCCACTTTACTAATTTATTGTGTCAAGAGTTGTTAATCCCATACAAAATGGCAATCCTGTAAAATCACTTTAAATCTTCAACATTTATTTACACATTTAATAATGAATACATTTTAAAAACGTATCTATATTATAATATTGTCAATTATTATTTTTTATTGCAAATTCTCCCCTCTACATCTAATACACTAAAAATGTAACACTTTTTCTGCTTTATAAGAAAGCAACCCCGTAAGTGTTTTAGAGCCGGATGGAGAATTATTCCGGCTACGATTATCTAAATTTTGATAACTCTATGATAATGAGCGGACCCGCGTTTTAGGGACTCGTGGAACCTAAAACCGGTCTTGCTACGAGTACACCGGTCAGATGTACTTTTACGAAATATTTTATAATTTCGGTCAGAGCTGGTATTCCCAACCTTTTCCTTTCATCGACCGGTTTTAAGAGAATTGTTTGTTTCATCGCTGCCCTTACGTTTTTTCTATAATATATTGCATCCATAAACATAACACAAAGAATTGTATTATGTTTGAGTTAAATATAACACTTTTGTTCACTAATATTCCTGTAAATATCTCTATTTTTAATAATCGAAGGCGCTTTCACTTTTAAGTAGCTGAGTTTCTAATCACAATTTTATACGGTTGTTTCAAAATGTTTTTTAGGAACTTGCCATAACATTTTTCCAGTGCATATAACGGAGAAGATACTTGATTTTACGATAGAGTATCGTTGTGAACAAGTAGTTGTTATTTCTTGAGTTTTCTGAACATCCTAACTTCTATGGATGAACGAAGGGAAGAGAATTTGTAATTTAATATTATGTTTTTTGCTTTATATCAGAAAACAATTAATTAATTTCATTATTTTTTGTAACCAATAGAATTTTGATTCTACTAGTCTAGCGCCGGCTCATATTGGCTATTAACCCCCAATCGACTCTCTCTCATCATTATTGTCTCACTTCAAAGTTTCATGGACCCCCAGATTTTAACGGAAATACAAATTTTGGGATCCCCTGATACCCAAAAATTTTTTTTTTTTTTTACTTTCCCGTACGTACATACGGAGTAATATGGTATAGGGTTGTAAAGGGTAAGGGTATAGGGTAGTAAGTTATGTAATTTTGCGCGGAAAACGACGGATTTTCGGCCGAAAACTAGTGGTGCAACAGAATGGTACAGACTTTCCCATATTTCCCATATAGCGTGTCTAAAAATGCGGAATTTTGAGCCATTTTCGCAGAAAACCGTAAAACTTTTGAAAAATTTGATCTGACATTATTTAAAGAACACATAAATATAAATATGTACTAACTCCCACGTGGAGCACCGAACGATGACCAGTGCTCATCGTCACAACTTAAGTTCAGCCCCCTTTGCTGTGAGCAAAAGGCGAATGAAATGTGGTGGATTGCAGGTGACGGGCGGCAACAAGGGCATCGGGCTGGCCGTCGTGCGGGGGCTGTGCAGGCGCTTCGACGGAGACGTCTTCCTCACGGCGCGCGACGCGGCGCGCGGAGAGGCGGCGGTGGAGCAGCTGCGACAGGTATTGCAAACAGAAAGCTTATCTCCTCCTTGTCGCTCTCCCTCTGCTTTCTGATGGTTTATCGCTTCGACGAGTGTAGATTAGAGTATTATGTCATTCTTTATTCCTCTTACGCCCTTATTCATTTCATTTTATGCCTTTATGCCCTTATTCATCCAAGATAATCGCTGCCAAATAACGCCGTCCGGGAGGTCTTGGTTTTTAGTCACGGCGGTGGCAGGATTTTCGAACTACTTAGAGATTTTTAGCTGTATAGCTAGAAGTTCTGGCGCAGTCTGAACAAATTTCCGTGTCATTTTGGCTCGTCAGCGATTGTCATCATCGAGGTAAAACTCCAACAAACGAGCCACAGACCGCGAAGGACCTTTCCTTTCTCTTTCTTAATCTATGCTCGTCCCTTATCTACACACACACACACACGCACACTTACATGCGCTACACTACCGCACAAGTCGGGAGAGCGGTCGAGAGTTTAGCTTGTCTCGATTGCTGAAAGAAAGAGGGGACCAACTACGTTTCTGCATCCCCTTTCCCATTAACGTTTTTACGTGTAGAACTATTTTTAGTCTATTTTTAAATGTTTGAAATGTATATTTGATCAGTTGTAGGAAAGATCGCCCTCAATTTGGCCGCATTTTTCAGAAGGTTTAGTACATTTTTAGCTGTTTCCAGCCGATTTTGGATTTTTGACTCATTGTAATGGGGTTCTATGCCAGGATCTAATCTGAATTACCCCTTTCAGGACAGATTTTCGGAATTTTTTAACGTTTTTGCCCCTTCCATTACACTCCAGGTACACAACATATAATTTCAAAACTTTTCATAATTTTGTAAAATTTAAGAATATTTCAATCCATATTTTTGTATAATACATTTAGCGCGATTTCGTAAAGCTTATAAAATGTTGCCAAAACCCAAAACTTCGCTATTTTTTAAACCGAAATTAACATTTTTACTATTTATACTTACTTATTTATTATTTTACTTATTTATATACGTACTTATTTTCAAAGAAAATATCATTATGTTATACTATATACTCCTCAATTTTAAAACAATCTGAAAATATTTTCAAATTACAAATATCTAGAGACAATTTTAAGAGTCTCTATTTCCAAAATTAAATTTAAACAATCGAATATCCACAATTTGCAAAACAATTAAAAGTATCATAAATTAACATTAAATCTAATTTTAATAATTATTGATCCGAGTCTACGAGTTCATGACTACGTGCAACAAGTGTTAACTTTTACAACTAAGAAAAACGCCGAAATTTTTTAGATATCATATTCCTACACCAAAAGGCGATGATATACAGACATATCAGCAATATATGTACAGAGTAAAATATCCATCCGTTTCCATCGCTGTACATTTTAAAATGTACTTATACGCTCTGTAAGGAATTTATATCAGCGATGGAACACAATTACAGAAATAAAATATTTTATTTCATAAGACTACGAGTCACCCTTCAACATTTTTAGAGGAAGACCCCCTCCCCCC